TGTCCCTCAGCTCTTCAGCTCAAGGCTAGCGCTCTACCACTTGAGCCAAAGTGCCACTTCCAGCTTTTTTCTTTTTGCTTATGTGGTGCTGAGGAATGGAACCCAGGGCCTCATGCATGCAAGGCAAGCACTCTACCACTGACCCACCTTCCCAGCCCTCTCATAGACTTTTCTGCCTGGGTTGGCTTCAAACTATAATCCTCAGCCTCCTATGTTCTAGGAACACAAGTGTGAGCCACCAGCACCCAGCTTCTATTAATTTTCTGACTGGCTAGGCTCAGCTCTCAATCCTCCACCATCTCTCTCCCAAATGGCTGGGATTATAGGTACCAACACACCTGGCCCTTAAATGACTAAAACACTCACTTCTAAAGCTGGCATCCACTATCCAGGCAAAGGAAAAACAAAATTAAAAAAAAAAAAAACAATCCAGGCAAAGTAAGTTTTAGAAGAAGCAGATTTGGGATTTGTTTCCCAAAATGAAAATGAAAATCTCTGAGCAAATATAGCTCTACTACAGGAACAGGCTCCTTGCAAAACAAGTAGTTCCCATGGAGGAGAGATAACCCTGATGATGAAAAATACTTGAGTTCCTCTCCCAGACCGCAGACGCAATTACCAGGCAGGGTCTTGTGTGGCAAACATATAAAGGCAGAGCCAAGCCTCTGCTTTCTTGCCAGGAGAGCTAGGCCTATGGAACCCTGGGCCTGGGCACTGTCCCTGAGTTCTCCAGCCACTTAAGCCACTGTGCCACTTCCAGTTTTCTGGTGGATAATTGGAGGTAAGAGTCTCATGGACTTTCCTGCCTGGGCTGGCTTTGAACCTCGATCCTCAGATCTCAGCTACCTGAGTAGTTATAGGATTACAGGTATGAGCCACTGGTGCCTGGCACTTTTTTCTTTTTAGTACTGAGGCTTGAACCCAGGGCCTCATGTTTAGGTAGTTGCTCTACCACTTGAGTCTCGAATGCCTACAGCCCTTGTTTTTCACTGTCTTGATAACACTCGCTTAATTTCCATTTCCATTCTTCAATGACCAGTGGATTACAGAGCAGAAGAGGTTTTGTCTGTTTGTTTTACCTGCACTAGGGCTTGAACTCAGGACCTGGGCGCTTGTCCCTGAGCGTTTATCACTCAAGGGCTGGTGCCCCACGACAGACAAAAAAGAAAAAAGTTTACGATGAATAACTTAGCAAATGTATAGCTTTTTAGACTTCAGCGTTGGGAGGTATGAGACATGGAAGGCTCCCTGGCGCCATGGGGACACCACGTAGTACAGTGCTTGGGCAATCGATAGCTCTTCCTCCCCTAGTGGAGAATTCCCCACCACCTGTTTACCTTGTGGGCCACACAGTCCTGCAGGTCCATTCCCAGGTCGAGGGTCTCACTCTCTGCAGACAGATCGGTAAGGATGTCCTGTGAAGAAGCCATTGACAGAAGGGTCAACCCACGGCTGAGACTAAGGAGGTCCCGCTGTCAAGACGGCTTCCTCTGAGACAGTGGGTTGGCAGTTTCCAGGGCAGACTGCTGAGAAGGGACCCTATGATACCAGCCTTGAGTGAGGCAAGGATCAATGGTGGCATATGGGACACACATCTCTGCCTTCCCCCACGGACCCTGGAGGCCAAAAGTTGTGTGTGTGTGTGTGGGTGCATGTGCATGTGCTAGTACTAGAGCCTGAATTCAGCACGTGGGCACTATCCCTTACTTTTTTTTTTCTGTACAAGGCTGGTGCTCTACCACTGAAGCCACAGCTTCACTTCCAGCTTTTTGGTGGTTAACTGGAAATAAATGTCATGGGCTTTCCTGTTGGCTTCAAGCTGGGTTGCTCAGATCTCAGCCTCCAGTATAGCTAACATTACACGCATGAGCCACTGGTGCCAGGCTGTGCTGTGGTTTTGCATAAAGCACCATTCCTGTGATGAGAGGCCCACAATCAATGGCTGGCTGGAGCTGGAGGGAAGTGGGCACAGCCTGACAGACAGGCTCAGAAAGAGCAGCGGCCCATCCCATGGGAATGGCAGGCCCAGGCCAGGGGTGTGGCCCAAGCACCCGGGGACAGAATGCAAGGATGAATGCCTCAGACAGAAACTTGTTCCACTGGTCCAGGAAGAGGCCTGCTTGGCTAGGAACCCTGATACAGCCAGGCCCTGGGCTGAGCAAGCAACGCCAACTGCACTGTCTTCAGGGGCCCTCTAGGGGTCACTGGTGAGGTGAGTGTAAACAGCAGTTCTAGGAGATGCAGGTATGGAGGGAAGATCTGGGATGGGAAGAGGGTGTGTGGCTGCACTGGTCAGAAGCAAAAGAAGGGGTAGGGGTGTGCGTGTGTGTGTTTGGAGTCTTGTTGCATAGAATTCCTGGGTCAGCAGAGAAGAATGAGGAAGCAAGAGTGAAGAGTGGCCAAGAAGAAAGCAAGAGGGAAGGAAGTTGACCAGGGAGACAGCTCGGGTTTAGGGAAGGCAGAATGGGAGTCAGGGGGAGATAAAAGGGGGCTCACTGTACCCAGACACATGGGGACTAGAGGAAGGGTGGGGCAGGTGAGGACCAGGAGCTCAGGGAAGGGCCAGGAGGGGACTCCAACAGTGCCCCCATGGAGCCTCTTTGGCTGGCAGGCAGAAGGGCGGGCTTGCAGCCCCAACAAAGCGGGGTTTCACAAGCAGGACTCACTTCCTCTCTCACTGCCTCCGGATTTCTCCATTGCCCAACAATGCCTATCTTGGTTCCACACACCCACAGCCTCCTGCACCCCACTTCCTGCTTCTACCCACTTCCCAGTTACCTGGAGAGACATGGTCCCCCTCACGGCCACCACGACACACTCCTTCCTGTGATCCAGAGCCACCAGGAAGGGCAGCTCATACACCTGCGGGACAAGAGACAACTGTCATGTCTCCAATCTCTACCATCCCACCACTGCTACTGACCCCTCCTCCCCCCCAAAAAAAAACAACAACAAAAACCTGGATCCCTATGGCCCTGGAAGGAGGAAATCAAGGGTCCAGCCTCTTCCTCCTCATCCTCACCAGCCGGAGGAGGACCCCAAAAGACTTCCAGAATATGTGCTCTTGTGTATGAACAACTGCTTTCTTATACTCTTGCCTCTCCCAGGTAGACTCCAGATGTGGCTGGCTGGCTGTCACAGGAGAGGGCCTGGGGCATGCTGAAGAGCCCCATGGGCAGCCTCTGGCCTTCTGGGGCAGCTGTCTCCTGACACCCAGATCTTTCCCACGTGGCCTCAAAGTACCAGCGCAGTACAGATGCTGACCAGGCCTCACTGCCAATCCAGCAGGCCCGACATGGCCACTTGGGCCCTCACTCCAACTCGTGTATGCTAACAAATTGACTACTAATAAATAAGCGCCCTGGGCACTGCGGTTAATGCCGGTCATCTCAGGAGGCTGAGATCTGAAGCCCACAGTTGGAAGCCAGCCTGGGCAGGAAAGTCTGAGACTCTTGTCTCTAATTAACTACCAAAACAAAATTCAGAAGTGGGGCTGTGGACAGACTCAGGCTGTGAGTTCAAGCCCCAGGACCAGTACGTGCACATGTGCAGACACACACACACACACACACACACACGCACACACACAATAAATAAGCACTCTTGGAGTTTGGCATGAAAAATGGCTGACCATCAAAGCTGAAAGATCTGACCTCCCAGGTACCTGTGACACCTCCAGACTGGGAGGCCCACGGAGCTCAGGAAGTTACCAAAAGGTGTGTGGGGTGAGCTCTGATTCAGCTCACTGCTCACATGAGTGTCTAACCTGGACCCACAAGCCTGTATGGGCTCAGTGTGTCTGTGGGAGGGGCAAGGGGGTCTGTGAGCTCCCTGGAATAGTACACTGATCTAGGGGTCCATGTGTAAATTATATAAAATGTAACCCCAAACACCCATGGGGATCTCAAAGGACCCCAGGACCCCAAACCAGCACAGAGCCACTTTCCAGCGCCACACCTTGTCGTGGAAGCTGACATGAATGAAGTCTCGGTACTGCAGCCCTGTAGTCTGCAGGATGGAGCCAAAATGGCAGTTGAGCTGATCTCCTCCAACCAAGTCATACTCTGCCGTTCTGCTTCTGTAACTAAAAAAAGATGGCCACAGAGTGACACGCAAACCTCCGCCCACTCTCTGTGTGTTCCCCACCACACAGGCTGGCAGCACAGGTCATTTCCAGGCAGTCCAGCCAACACACAATGGCCCTTAAATATTGTTTACGGGTGCTGGTGCACATGCCTGCAATCCCAGCTACTCAGGAGGCTGAGATCTGAGGATTGCACTCTCTCATCAAGGAAAGAAAGTCCATGACAAAAGAAAAGAAGAAACATGGCTCCCCATATACACGCATATACACTGGTGCTCTTCCACTTAAGCCACAGCTCCATTTGTGGATTTTTGCTTGTTAAATGGAAATGTCTTATGAGGGCTGGGAAGGTGGCTCAGTGGTAGAGCGCTTGCCTTGCATGCATGAGGCACTGGTTCGATTCCTCAGCACCACATAAGCAGAAAAAAACTGGAAGTAGCACTGTGGCTCAAGTGGTAGGGTACTAGCCTTGAGCTGAAGAACTAAGGGACAGCACCTGGGGCCCAGAGTTCATCCCCCATGACCAACAGGGGGAAAAAAAAAAGTCTTATGAATTTTCCTGCCCAGGCTGGCTTCAAATCTCAATTCTCAGAAATGAGCCTCTTGAATAGTTATAGGATTACAGGCATGTGCTACCAGTGTCCTGCTGAAGTACAGTTTTGTTTAGGCTGGCTTCAATCCATGATCCTCAAAGTGTATGCCTCTTCTGTAGCTAGGATTAAGGCGTGTGCATCAGAGTCTAACTTTTTCTTTTTGCAAGACAAATGTATACCCATGGGCCTCATCCCACGCCAACCTACCAGTCTCCGCCAATTGTGCAAAGCCCTGTGAACGGGTTTCGGTAGATGTAGAGGGGCCAGCCATAGGCAGCGGCTGCAAACCGCATATAGTGATGGCAGTTTTCAAGCTCTGCATCCAAATCTGCTTCCTGGAAGAGAGGGGGAAACACTTTCTGTGTAAGAACCACTCCTGACAGAGGGGGATGAATGCTCTAACATCTTTTTTTTTGGGGGGGGGAGGGAAGCGGGGTCTGGTCATGGGGCCTGAACTCTGGGCCTGGGCGCTGTCCCTCAGCTCTTCAGCTCAAGGCTAGCACTCTACCACTTGAGCCACAGCGCCACTTCCGGCTTTTTTCTTTTTGCTTATGGGGTGCTGAGGAATCGAACCCAGGGCCTCATGAATGCAAGACAAGCGCTCTACCACTGAGCCACCTTTCCCAGCATGAATACTCTAACATCTTTAACCTGAACTCGCTCATTTCTGACTTTTCCTGCTCCTTCCATACTGGCTAGAATGCTCAGGGAACTTCTACAGGAAAAACTGGCCTTCAATTCCAGCCTGCATGAACACCAGAACTGCCAGGACCTGGCTGCTTTAGCCAGGGACAGAGAAACACGTGGAGTGTTAGATGCAATTTCTTCTCTTTCACTTTGTTATTAGGATACTGCAGTTCAGTTGAACAACTCAGGGCCTCCAGCTTGCTAGGCAGGTGCTTTCATCGCTTGAGCCTCATCTCTAACCCTTTCTTATTTCCTTATTTTTCAAATAAGGTCTTGCTTCTTGCCCTAGTCCACCTGGACTTAGATCCTACTATTTATGCTTCTGACATACCTGGGACGGAAGGCGTGAGTCACCATACCCATCTTTTAAATTTTTTGGTGCCAGACTCAAGAGCCTTGTGTTTTTGCTTGGCTTTAGTGATCAAGACTGGCACTCTGCCAATTGAGCCAAAGCTCCATTTCTAATTTTTCCTGATTCATTGGAGATAAGAGTCTCATGGAGCGGGGCGCTGGTGGCTCATGCCTATAATCCTACCTACTCAGGAAGCTGAGATCTGAGGATCGCAGTTCAAAGTCGGCCTGGGCAGGAAACCCCGTGAGACTCTTATCTCCAATAAACCACACACACAAAAAAAAACTGGAAGTAGCACTGTGGCTCAAGTGGTAGGGTACTAGCCTTGAGCTGAAGAACTAAGGGACAGCACCTGGGGCCCAGAGTTCATCCC